GCATCGGTCAGCGGGTGGTGAGCAATTGCATTGTGTGTCACTTGCTTTGTATATTCTATTATTATTATTATTATTATTATATTTCAATTATTAAACTGTTCTTATCTCAACCCATGAGTTTTCTCACTTTTACTCTTCTGATTCTCTTCCGATTCTCTCCCTGATCCTGCCGGGGGCGGGGAGAGTGAGCGAGTGGCTGTGTGGTGCTCAGTTGCCAGCTGAGGTTAAACCACGGCACACAGGGAAGTGGTATATTCTATCCCACAGACAGAGAAGAGGCGAACCTCTGTGCAACCATGAATTGCCAAAGCTAACAGGAAATCTGTACCTGAGCACTCTTAGGCTCCCACCTGTCCAGCAGGAAACCCATCCCACAGATCATTGGTGCCTTTCACATCCAGAGCAGGGAAAAGCAGTGCTACTCTGCAAGCAAGATGAACAAGCTTCAGTGAAGGGCAAAACTGCAGCACTGGGATATGTTCCATACCCATGGAGGTGCAGATTTGTAGTTAGTGGGGCTGGACAGATTCTAACCATTTCTGATCCAACAGAAATCTTCCCTACCTCATATGTTATTCTTTTTCCAATACCTGTCCCCATTCAAGACCCTTGGTCCACTGGAGGCGGGCTGCAAGCAAGCCCTCACTAGACCTGTGCAAGCAACTGGACCACCACCTTACTGGGACCTGACTCCAGGGAGTACTGGCACAGACAGTGTTTGTTACACTACCTGGTGATACACTTCCCCGAAGTGCCAGTGGCCAGCACGCATTTTAAAACTCCCTCTCCCCCTCCTTGCATTTTAGTTGAGGGTATTTTACTTCCACTTTGAATAAAAAATAAAAATAAAATAATCAGGAATGATGCACTAATACAGAGTTTAGAATACAGCAATACGGTAGACTGAATACTTGAAAAATTAGACCAGCTTTTAAACACAGACACAAAAAGAAAAAACAAAGATAAAAAGTCTTAAAAATGATAAGGATGGGTGAACAAACTTGGTCTCTGTAGCTGGCACCAAGAAGCAGCCAGGGCTCCTACCAATACGAAAGACAATTAGATTCCAGCAGACAAACCAGAAAGTAATGATTATGATTGCTGATGCTGCAGACCGTGGCTGGCCCGCATTAGGTTAAGTAAGCTGGATGCAAGCCAGTATCATTGAACAAATGGCATGGCACATTCCGGAGGAATCTGAAGAGAGATTACTAATATCTTAAAGGTGACCTTTCACACATGCTACCCCAGCAAATCAGGCAATTCTCTTGGCTATAATGGACAAGATCAGCAGAGGCCAGACTCCTGAAGTTATGCACTCTTCATACAAATAGGATTTTTTTAAAAAAAATTTAATAGTAAATGACTGCACCTCATTTGAGCAAAGTACCCTAAGTGCTTTATTGGTTTATTTCACCCCTTCCCCCTGTTTTAAAGAAAACAATCTAACTTTCCATTATTCATTATCATCCAGGCAGGCAGCAAGCTAAAAAAGAACTCTAATTTTTAGCCATATTGTCTATTAGAAAATATAAAACGTTTCCTAAAAGGGCAGGTGCATTAATTAAGGATGCCTCGGGATAAATGAAAACTACAAGGAGTACTCTGCTTTCCTGAATGAGCTTTCCATAGATTATTTATAATTGAATGAAACCAATTACAGCATTTATAACGGAAACTGTACAGAAGTTAAACATTTCCACTTCTGCAGAACCTGAAGACCATACTGCATGAACAGAAAAAGGTCTCTACATTTTTATGAAGGGAAAAGAGAAGGTATCTTCTAAAAATTTTCCCATAGGTAAAACAAATAGTAAATACACTGGATACAAAACCCGTCAGTGAGGCCCAAAAGGGCCCTAGTGTAATTTAGAATCAGGTCCTGGGTTCTGAGAAGCCAGAAATCCTGAAGCTGTAGATTGAACTCCTTTCCATTTCTTCAGGGAAGAAAATACAGCTCCATAGCTGTATTAGGCTCAATTTTCTAAATAATAGTTATCTCCTCTGTAACTAATCAGTAAAGTTTTAAATCAGTATCAGACTAAATGCTTGCTCCAATAGTGGAACGTGCTCTGTCTTCAAAATACAATCTTACCCTGCTGACAACTGAAAAAGCTAGAAGACTGAGGAGAACACACACTGGCATATAGTTTTTATTCTCAAACAGAAAACATCCTTTGCTATCCTACAGAGCAGTCCCTAAAACAACACACAATCTTTTTCTGTGCACAGAGATTTTGCTAGTGAGCAAAAACAAAGAGAACTTTGGGGGAAAAAGAATTAACGTAGTTTCAAACACAACAGTGCTTTCTGAATTCATTCTGAATGGAAGAAGGAAAATGTTTAAAGTTACTGCTAGGGAACCGAGAAAGACCTGAATAAAATGACTTGAATAACCATTAAAGAAAATCCTCCGCCTGAAAGACACTTCAGAGAGAATTCTACTTCCACATCAGCTAAAAGCAATACACTCGTTGACTTTATCTGTAATTATCTGATATTCACCTGGATTATGAATTTTACCCCACCAGTAAGCTAAGCAAGTGTGTATTAATTATGAGGCTGACAAATGCAATGCAGAATTATGTTTTAGCATTTTGTAACATGCTGCATATATTGCAAGAAATATCTGTCAGATCATTTTTGCTGCTAGTAGTCAGAAAGCTTAACTTTATTCCTAATTAATTCTGTGTAATCAGTAATGAAGCCATGTGATGATTTAAGAGGTACCTATCTATAGTCAGATAAAACTAATATATATAATAGTGTACTTTAATTTTCATTTCCCTTCTAGACTCACATAAAAATAACATCTGAGTGAAAATTAGAGCAGATGCAAGGAGATTGTTCATTACATGTTTGTTGTAGGTTTAACACTGCTTTATGGGATACATTGTGACGCTACTAACTAGACATTAGCACAATAAGACCTACTGTTCTGCAATGCATGTAGGCTCCAATGCGTAATGTGCATTATCCAAGAACCTGGACAAATCTTTTCTTACTTTTTCATGTTTAGCCTTGGATGTCAGATAAACTAGCAGACACAAGTGTCATTGATGAAAAGTAAAGAACAACCTGAGGCAAGGTGAACTGAGATAACTACAATTATCAGGTGAAAATTTCATCAGATTTCTAGAATTGGTTGGGGTTTTTTTTATAATCTACATATTATACTGGCTGTAAGTCTCTGGCTCTGTCAGGTGTCCTAAATTGAAGAGAGCTGTGATATTAGGTATCATGAAAGGCTACAAACATACAGGCATTTTTCTCCTAGTAAAATACTTTCTTAGTTTAGAATACCCTCTGCCATAGCTTCTTTCTGTAGACTTTGAAGTATTTTTTTATCTTATGTAATGTGGTGACCAGAGTTCAGCACAGGAATTCAATTTTTAGATCCGTGCGTTTCCTTCTCATTTGTTCTCTGCAAGAATTCCTTTACTTTCAAGACAGGCAGATCTGTCTGCATTTTTTAGATTAGTCTTTACCCTGCTTAAGGCCACACTGCTACATTTTTTTCCGTTGACAGTCGTGTTCAACTTCATACAGATGTAGTCAGCTGAATCATTAGTCATTTCAATAATTTCTGGTCTAATCTTCAACACCTTGAGAGAACACCTGCCAGTCATATTTTGCTATTATTTGAGATAGTTCTACCATCATAGTTCTTTCCTCCGTAACCTACCACATACAAAAATGGATCCACTTTAAGTGTATTTTTATCCTTTACTTACGTAAACACTGTCAAATAAGTTTGATTTTTTTCATGTTCTTTTTCCAACTTTTGTATGACGGGTGTACTCATAGACCCGTACTACCTTCCTGATGTCTCAGTCAACACAAAAGTAAAGGGACTGTAAAATTATGAAACAGTTAACGTCTTTGCCTTTATTTAGAAACCCACTCTTTTAACCCTTTTTACTGATTCCTGTGCAATGTCCACACACACTACAAATACTCACACGCCACGGGAACACTGCTCCTAGAGTTACAGAAACAGATGTTTTAGAGTATAAAAATACATTGTTGATATCAAGTATAATATACCCCAATTTTTTGTTTAGAAAATTCTGCAGACAAGCCAGAGCTATCTGCTTTACAGGGTTGCTTCTTAAGGAACAAAATTCGCCCCCAACCCTTTCATTTCAAAGCAGACTCTACTGAACCCCATCATAATTATCCGTTATGTTTTCACGGACTATTAAACAAAGATCTAGTTGAAAACTAAGAACTGATGCAAAGACAACACCAACTTGTTTAAATGTTTATTCATCAAATAATGAAAGTGATAAATGAGAGTAGCGAATAATTAGGGAACACTTACTGTAGTGGAGAGCTGTGGTCCATTCAACTGTGCATGCAGGATGGCTTCATTGATGGAGTTCCGGATTCCCGTCAGCGCAATTTCCAGATCATGTGAGGCAGCCATTTCATTAGTCAGATATTCCAGCGTGGAGATATACTCCCTCCATTGTGCATCCAGTTCTGACACACTGGCCAAACAGCCCCTCATTACATTTAGACAATATCCGACACAGGGTCTGATTAGCGTCAGGCCCTGGCAATGCGGGCAATACTGCATCTTCACTAGAGCTTTGCTACATTCCTTGGTGAGAGCTGCATGTTCAGTAGTATTTATCACTTCAATGCCCAGACTGAGGGCCTGGCTAAGCATCCTACTTGCCCAAAGAGATTTTGACAGCTCTGTAACCATGTTTTTAGAATAGCGTCCAAAAGGATTTATGTCTTGCCTTGTAAGCCGTAGACACTCCGTATAGTCCTCTGATAAATCTGTAATTCCTGGGTTTATTAGCCGACTGTACACCAGAGGAAAGAGACTGTCAAAGAACCGTAATACTGCACTTTCCACTGTAGTCTCTGCACCCAGAATGTAGAGAGAGATGTCTGTAAAAAGTTCTTTAACAGGCTCTGCTGCTTCTTTTGCCATAGGTCTGTAAGCTGTCTCAAACAGGGAACTTGTGCGGTTTTCAGCAAAGCGAAGCAAAGACTCAAAGGCCTCTAAAAAAGGGGCAGGGGAGAGAAAGAACTAGAGGTTAATAGCAAGCACCTGACATCTTAGTCACAGGACTAATATTGTCCTGAACAGGAACATCAATAGTTACATGAAATCTGCAATATGAATACACTAATCATTAATACAACTTTCACCAGTAATATGATTTAAAAGACACCTAAATATTACATATGCATAATAAAGGCAACACGCAATACACAAATATTTTCTTAAAAAAAAGATGAATGTGCTCTCAGTAGCTAGACCCTGACCCAAACCCTAGAGGTCAATGAAGGACTCCCACCAAGCACAGGCAGGGTCTAAGATGGCTTTTGGAACTGACACTGCATTTGGGCAGTTCAACTAGATACATTTCCAAAACACCCCTCTACATACAAGTGACATCAGTTTCCAGTACACAGGGAGGACTGCAATATTTTCAGTGTTCCTATAGAACTCCAGAGAAGAATACTTAAATAGGCAAAATTATTTATGTGATGCAAGTTCTGGAACTGTGAGACAGAGGAGTAACTGGTAACAGGAGCTGTCTGTAATACACCAATCACGCTATCACTGCTGCACTGGACCAAATAAATAATGATAACATATCCACATTTAATGAAAGGGTGAAAATTCATATTCAAAATTCTTGTAAAGCTATAAGACTTCACTGCATATTGATATTAAAGTCAGAGAATAACATCTCATCAGTGCACAGAAATGCTGATCCTCATTCATTAGCTGTACTTTTCAACTGTAACAGTTTGAAATGTTTTAATAACTTAATAGTTTATGAAAGCAGTATCTTGATAACATAATAACAGCTTAAAGTTGTATTAGCTTTTCATCCCAGGTGATCTATTGCTATGAAATCCTGCATCAAGAACGGAAAAAGCGTAAGGCATTCATGTCCTCCTACAATCGGTCTAGATTTCTAAAACACATACTTGTACGATTTGGAGAGCTGACATGCAGAGTAAATACATGCTAGAAGGAAGGACTAGACAAAGCTGACACACAAATAGCAGCTTTCAATAAGCTGCTGGACAGCAGCTCAATGAAAGCTTGTGAGATAACTGAATACAAACAGAAGTTGAAGCTTTTGTTTCACAGTGCTGTGAGTGGGTGGCTGAGAGGCACTTCTTGCAAAGTACAACTCAAGGAGGAAGGAAAGATGCTGCGTGAATAAATTCTCTCCCTGTTAACATCAGGTAGGTCTGGACACCAGCCAGTGGTTGGGTAGGACTTGACATCAAGCCCGCTATGAACCAAAACGAAATTATAAAGTCAGGAAAACAGTATCTCCTTTAACTATACCATTTTCAAGTGGCCTAAAAAAAAAAAAAAAAAATTAAGGATTGCCATGGTTAACACATTTCACATTGCAGAAGGCAAATATTATACACTTAAAACACTGACTGGGGTGCTAGAATTCAGAGACGGGGCAAGGAAGGGATCAGTTCTCAAGATTAATTTAATGACACAGAAAACACTAATCCACACCATTCCCACTGCTTTGTTTGGAAGCTCTACAACAAAAAGCCTCTGACATAAATCATTCGTGCACTCCTCTGGATGGCAAGTAGTTCCAGTCAAGGCAGGAGACCTATCACTTTATACCTCCTGAGGACTGCCCAGATAATGGGTTTTCGGTCTAATCCTACTCTACATTCATCTGAACATCACCATGCGATTCACTGCAATGTAACACAAACTGAAGTCGCTCAAAGATCAGCTCAGCAAAGAAGCGGATACAATACTGTAAGTCAAGATTACCATACACTGCAAAGTTTTGTAGAAAAGCCTGCTCGGTGCCTTCCTCTATTACATCTCCCTGGGCAACTAACTTGCTTGTTATGATAAGCGTTACAATCCCTTTACCACAAAGGGTGATTTAACTAGACAGATAATACAACATATCTCATTGTACATTAAATCTAAAGTATTTTACACACACACACACACACACACGCGTGCGCTGTATCCTTCTGCCAGAGAATCACTTCAGCACTCCCACTGGTATTACAGCAACTAATACTCTGGAAGTGCTTATAAAATCCTGGAAATGAAGAATTCAGATACACTTCAGTTGAAAAAGAAGAAAGTTCATTCTCAGGCAGAGAAACACCTTGCCAAGTTTCAGACTGAAGCAGACTTTTACAGCTGAAAAAATTCTGAAAATTGGATTTATAATGGAAATATTGACACAACCTAAACTGTAGTGCAGTTAGCTGTGTGCTACTGCACTATTAGAAGTTTTTTGTTTGCCACATCACCCCTATGTGTTTATTGTTATTTCTAGAGGAAACCTAAACACCATTTTTGTTTATCATACTAAAAAGGCAATGGAAATATTCAAAACATGAATAAAACAGTGTTTTAAGTTTCCTCCTTCAGGCACACTCTCTCTCTCTCATAAATATTCAACTCATTGTTAGGTTATGGGAGCAGAGACTGACTCCTACAATGCCAATAGTATTACGCTGTTGCTTTACCTTCCACACCCATAAAGGCTGAACTGCAGCCATCATCCTCCTTATCTGAAGACTAAATGAAATGCATTTATAAATGTGCAAGTATCCTTACTGTCCTGAGAAATAACTGCCCCAGTGAAAGATGAGAGCAAAACAGTCAATAACAATGTACATCCCAAGAAAACAGATTTCAGCAGCTTCCTGGGATACTAGGTTGTAGACTAGAAACCACGTAGCATTTTATTTTCAAACCTCTTAACTGTGAAAATTCTGCATTATTCTGAGACAAGTATGAAATCAAAATATTTAAGTGTCATTTATTTTTCATTGTATAGGAGAAAAATTGTGATGGTATATATAGCTTCATTCCTCCTGCAAAAAGAGCCCTAATGTCAAAAATATGGTACAAAAAAATATTTCTGCTGATTGTAGATGTGCTGCGAACACCCATGAGGTATCATTTGCTTCCTTATCACCACTGGTCAGACACAAAAAATGACTCATGCTTGCAGGCACTCTAGCAATGCTGTTTGAGAAGGAAATATATAGGTCTCTTTTCATTGTTAAGGCATTAAGAAGTGTTTGAGACAATCAAATTACTGGATCAGCTGGATGTTTAGACCTTTAATGAGAAATAATGGGGCTTCATGCAGTCGAACAATTTTGTAACAATGGACAGCTTGCATTCTAGTTGTACAGAGCAGGCAACCTTAGCATCTTGTTTTAAAACTGATTAATTATATGCTTTTAATAGACCTTGCATGGAGTTTCTAAATCCCAAGGAAGGTTTACCACTATCTGAAAAACTGGGTGCGCATCTGTGCAGTCAAATACAGCAAACTTTAGATATTTTTGAACTTGCAAAAAGCTGAATTCTAAGCCTAAGGACACACCAGGAGAAACATTTGATCATCTTTCACAAGAAAAGCCTTTGGCTTCCACCCCCCCACCAGCAGCATACAATGTACTATAAACTGCAAATATATTGATTCTGAACAGAAATAAGACATAATCAAAATCATCCAGAATTTGATGGAAACATTACATATTTTCTGTATTCCTTTAGTATTGAAATAAATAGGAAGGTGGAGAACAAGGTTTGTTCTCATGTTCCTCAAAAGCCCCTTTTTGATTTAAGACTACAGGTAAAGTGAAACAACAGCCAGCTTTGGATTTTGAACTAACACATCAGTAACTACGTAATGTAAGTCAGGCAACACCAACTTCCATGGGGAGAATTTTGTTCAAACTGTTTATCACACGCTCACAAAACACTTGACACCACCACCACCGATGTGTCTTGTGACAGTCAAACACAGCTGATCAAATACAGCTCACCTCTGGAAACTTCACATCTGAGCTGCTGGTGTTTGAAAATTAGCTTCTGGAGACAAGCCCAGTTATGACAAGATGCCACGCTGGTTTTGCTGCTCCATCAGCAGCGCAGAGCCTGCCAGGCCAAGCAGCTAACCAGGTTGCACGCTGGGCTTCTAGCCTGGTTCCTAGCATTCACATACACTAAAAATTGTATTATGCTCAGTCTAACACACACAGATGGAAAAACATTGCTTTGCACTTATAGCATCCATGCTTATTCATCACGAGCATGACACAGCTTGGTTTTGAGTGAGAGCTTCCTTCTGACAAAAATACATCCATCCTGACACAGAGGATGTTTTACTTCTCTTAAACCAGCCAGCAGCTACATTTCATATACCTAATGCAATAAAAAAAAAAAAAATCACAAAGGATTCCTGACTTATCTCACACCAGGTTTTGCACCAGTGTGACACCACTGACTTCTTTAGTGGGATTTAATCCTGATTTAAGCCCATTGTATGTCAGAAGCAGCTGCAGAATTTAAGTGTTTCTGCTAAAGAAATCTGCTAAAGGATAGTGCTACAGGGAGAAAGAGATTTAAGGAGGCATGTATCAGCCTGCCCAACACTGGTGTGCCAGCATTTTCCAAAGATTTCCTCTATTTTTTCACCACCTGGAGGTCTATTTGGGGAAAGAACAGGGAGATTTTAAGTAGCAGTACAGGCAAAGGAAAAATATCTGATATTGTAACTACAGCTTTGACTAGTTCCTCATGTTATGTAAACACTGCATTCAATGACTTATGCTAACTCATTTCAGCAGGAATAGCTTCCTGTGTTTTTAAATTGCCATATCTCTATTTTAGTGCAGTCAGGTGCAACAGCTCTCCAAGTTTGTGTCCAGGCCACCACCCCTTCTAATGCAGCCTTATCCTTAGGACAAGAACCAAAGATGCAAAACTACCACACGTCAAGTTGCCATTCCTTCTGCCACAAAAATCTTTCTGGGTGTGTTCTGAGGAATTGTTTATTTTTTCAGGCTCCCAGACACATGGCAACATAGCCTCAAGGAAAGACCTCAACAAAATGATCCACTGCAGTGCATAGCGAGTCTGCGCACACATGGTAGTACAAGAGCTTGCATTCAGGATTGACTTCATCTCATAAACCCCGTATTTCTTACAGTGCATGAAGATCAGCAGATGTGGCCTC